AGCTCAAGTTCAAGATCTCTCGACGAGATTCAAGTTTTCTTGAAGATTTAAAGGCGTTCTTGAAGACTCAAAGCAAGATTCAAGCGCGTTCAACCTCAAGACTAGCGTTCAATCCGGAAACAAGCTGCGAAGCCTCCGAATAACGTTAGTAAATTCAAAACCGGCGTGAAGAAGATTCGAGATCTACTTTGCGGCGAAGACCAAGAATTTGTGTTCTTCGCGTTCTTGGGATATTTTGACGTTTGATCCGGGAAAAAGCTTTCAAGCCCTCGGATTACGTTAATTCAAGTCAAATCAAGTCAAGGAGAAGATCAAGTCGAAGATTTCGCTCCAAGACTTAAAAATTGTTTGTGAGAAGAATCAGAGGAGAAAATAGAGATTGTAACCCGCAATATATTATTTTGATTCAAGAATTTCATTTGAATAATATTTTTCGTGTTTTTAAATTCAATACACGAAATTTATTGTTACAGTTTTTATAATATATTTTATATTTAAGTCACCACCAATATTTTTTTTATTATTATTATTTTTTTTCCCTCTCCATTTGTTTTATCACAAACGAATGACTTATGAAGTTTCACTTTTGGACAAATGCTGGACAAATTGTGAACAGAAGTAGCTGGATAAGATTGCATTAGAAAGAACTGAATAATAAAGGGACAATAAAATCCACATAAGATATTTATTACCATTTTAAAATATAACGGAAATTGCTGCGCAAAATAATTCCCGACCCTTGTTGGATCTAATCTAATGGCATCTTAAGTACAAATTTAGAAAAATGATAAGGTCTCGTTACGAAACAATTTCATCGGAATTTTGTAACCGTTAGAGCACCCACGATGTTTTGGGTCTCTTACAAAAATATCATATGTCATGTAGGAAATAGACTTAGTCTATTAAAAAATACTTTCCAAATGTAATTAAAAGTAGATTAGGTCTAACTTATGTGACAATAAAAAAATGAGACCAAATCTACACTTGGGTCTATTTTAGACTCAAGTACAAACCTGAACAATCAGCATTTATTTCTAATATAATATTTCTCTTAATATAGAAAATATTTTAGAGCATTTTATTGGTTGACAAATATTCTAGGCCTAGTATTTTGTTTTTGCACTGGATGACTTTTGGATTTTTTTTTTTACTTGGGTTTGTCCATGTCATTCACGGCTTAAGTTCATTATATTCCACATATGTAAAATTGAATCCAATGCATTGTATATGCTCTTGGATTATCATGTAACCTTCAGAGATAGTTGATCATATCTAACGG